TTTGGTGCGCGGCCACGAGATAACTTTCATTAATTTCCGAGTGCATTCAACATTAATATTAAGTGCGTACGTAATTGATAATACATGTGAAGCACATAAGGTGTAAACAAGAAAAACATCCCGACGCAAAAAAATCCACGCGCCAATTTGGTAACGTCAGAAATATTTCTTTGTTCCAAATGTACGAGATGCACAGATTGACAGCTAAGCATGCATTCATTTTTTCACACCTGCAGTACACAAAGGTCTCTTGACGACATCTGCACTTTCTGGTACTGGTGAGCGGTTGATAACGAACCGATAGAGATCAGATCCTTTGTTCATGTCTTCTGGTGTCCGGTCAAGACGGTTCTTCAAACTGTCCACGCTCCTCCCCCCGTTCATATGACATTTCTTTGTCGTTGATGCACATGACATGGGAGGCAGATTCCGAATTGTCATCATCACCCGACCCGGGACAACATTTTCCGGTACATTTCTGATTCACAGATTATCGGAATCCGATGTTTCACGACATGATATATAGCTTGCATGCACGTTATCAATTTCTTAACGATTACCTACTTACGTGTACATCTATCATCCGAACCTGAACATTTCTGAATGATGTCACGTAACCATCAACAGCTAATGTTTAATCCTCTAAAACAAACCTATTATAGGAAATATCGTTGTCACAATGCATAGAAATGCAGGAAGACAGCTCTTATGGGAGAAACAATTGATGAGGAAGTCTTGGGTTTTTTTATAGATCATCAATTTTAGTATAACACGCATAACAAATGGTGTCCTACAATACGTCAGAGGTTCACCTAAAAAAGAACAATGTTTGAGGTTGCCACAATGGACCTCCATTATTCGTGGTAATTGAAAGGAAGTATAATAATACTCGTATCATTTCTTATTATGCTTTTTTTATTTACGTTAACAATTGAACCGTGGATCAGATTGTCTCTATAAACTTATTCAGGATGATTTTTGATGGGTGTCATCCATTCACAGCACGAAACTTTAGTCAACAAATCATATATCATCACATCAACTCCCGCCCTAACCCATTACTATACGTGGCAAATCCTTGTCACGTGTTCGACTCTTGACAGTTGCCATGTTTGTGCCACAAATCATTGTTTATGATAAATAGTTCCACTGGCCACATCGCTGATTTTGGTTTAGTTATTTGATTATGGTATCAACAAATAGTCGGTTCGTCCGAATTTTTTTTTCTTAAATTCTCAACTTCTCTTCTTCACAATCGCTCGGCGAACCTTAATTTTTTTTTATAAATAAGCATCAATTTCCATCTGCACATTGAATCTTCAAGGTACAACAACAATCGCATCTTCCTGTCAATCTCCGCTTTTTTTCATTTCTTTATCCGCTCGGGTTTACACCCTGTTGACGATCACCTCTTGAAAACCTTCTCTT